ACATATCTGACAAGGAACTGCTATGAAAAATATACAAAGAACTCAAACTCACCAATAAAAAAACCTGATTTAAAAATGGGTCAAAGATCTTAACAGATACCTCACCAAAAAAGATATACAGATGGCAAATAAGCATATGAAAAGATGCTCAACATCATGTGCTATCAGGGAAATGCAGATTAAAATGTGGTATCACTATATACCTATTAGAAAGGCTAAAACCCAGAACCCTAATACCATTAAATGCTGGCAAAGATATGTAGCAAAAGGAACTCTCATTTATTAGCTGGTGGGAACACAAAATGGTACAGCCACTTCAGAAGGCAGTTTGGCAGTTTCTTACAAAACTAAATATATTCTAACTATAGGATAAAGCAACTGTACTCCCTGGTATTCACCCAAAGGACATGAAGACCTACGTCTGCACAAAAGTATGTACTCAATGTTTCTAACACCTTTATTCATAACTGCCAAAACTTGGAAGCAAATAACTATCATTCAGAAGTGAATGGATAAAAATGCTGTGGCATATTCAGACTATAAGTTTTTCAGTGCTAACAAGTAAGCCATAAAAAAAGACATGGAGAATACTTAAACACATATTATTAAGTGAAAGAAGACAATCTGAAAAGGCTATGTACTATATGATATCAACTATCTGACATTCTGGAAAAGGCAAAACTACAGTAAAAAAGATCAGTGGTTCCCAGGATTTGGGGCAGGAGAGTGGGAAGAACAAACAGGCAAAATACAGCAGTGAAACTATTTTGTATGAGACTATAATAGTGGATTCATGCCACTATACATCTGCTGAAACCAGGAATGAATTCTAATGTAAGTTATAGACTTTTGGTGATAACAACTTGTCAAGCAACTTCATGGATTGTAGCAAACGTACAACTTTGGTGGGAAATGTTCATAATGGGGGAAACTATGTATGTGTGGGGGAAGGGAGTATACGGAAAACCTCTGTACCTTTCCCTCAATTTTGCTGTGAACCTAAAACTGCTTTTAAAACAAATGCTTTAAAAATAGTCTGTTAAAAAAAAAGGATACACATACACAGTTCCTAACCAAAAATGCTCATAGTCTCTTGTTATGCATACATATAAACAAGTAACTATCATACAATCATTAACCCAGGACCACTGGCTGCAGGCCACTCCCACCCCCTTCAAAAGCTCCCTTCTTTTCAATTACTAGAGTATGGTATATTGAAACCTCCTTTTCAACTTTAGTGCCCCAAAGATGAAGCTTCAAGTCTCAGGACTATTTTCCTACTATACATCGTGGCCAACAAGAGGTATAGTGGAACTTAAATCTCATTTCTGATCTAGATTTGTGTTTTAGGATACACAATACAGACATGGTCAGGACACTCAGATTCTTTGGTCACTAAGTTTCCAACTGATTTAGTGTTTCTTGCATCTTGAGGCATCTGCAAAGAAGGGACATTACTGACACAGAATACTCTGCTGTGAATGCTCTGGTCAGGCAAGGATGAAAGTAGGAATTATGGACAGGCATTTGGAGAATCAATCTACGCTCTAATTTGCCTGAAGCTCTAACCGTCATACAGAAATAGCAATATTTTTACTTTCAACCAATTAGTCAGCTTCTTTGGGGACTATAATGAGTAAATTATTCTTTTCATCACATTTCAGTTGTTTCTGTTCCTTTTAGCTAATGTCGACCAAATTACTGATTAAATGGTATTACTTATTATTCAGCTAGATAATAAAGAACATATAGACTAAAAAAGTTTAGATCACTTTGTATTTATTACACGTTTAACTGAATTTTCTCAAATTACAGAATTCAACCCCAAAATAAGGTAATAAATGTCTATTAAATTGTTATTCACTTGTATTTTTCTCTCCTAGAATATTTACACAGCAGAATATCATAAAGATGCATGAAGAGGTTCAGTGCACTTTCAGTGGTTCATAATCATGAGACAAAGACCACTTTATGCAGAAAAGACAACTAGATCAACGTTAAAATAATGATAATATAAAGGAAAAAATAAAATACTGCATTTTACCACTATTATTTTGGTAGATGATAGAACATTGTTTAAAATAATGCTTCTCTACAGAGCACATGCTGTGCTTGGTATGCTTGGCACATTAGCACTCGCTAACTGCTCAGCTCCCATCTGCAGTTTCTCTAGCAGGACCTTGTCCCAGGCCCACTTTCAAACCCTGAGGCTCTGATCTGCCTGCCTCCATAGGGACTATTCTGGCAGGAGTGTGACCCATCGTCCTCCATCTGCTCTTATGGCTTCCCTGTCGTCTCTTATTTTCCCCCAGATTCACACATGCTGCCATCTGCATCCTCAGCACGGATGCCTAGCACAAAACTCAGCAGAGCAAGCTCTCCACAGCTCTTATCCCAGAATACGTCCCTTCACTGGCTAAATGACTATAAGGTAAAAAGAATGAATCTACCCACAAAAATCATTCTCCCTACTTTACAGTCACATTTCCAGCAGTGCAAAAAAAGGCTGGTGATGCCTGATTTTAGAACTTAAAACATTCATTGAGTTTAGACAAAATATATACTGTTCTGAAGTTTGTTAAAATCTATTCTTTTCTATTATTGTTATTTTTAAAATCATAAAAATATAAAAACTGTAAACATTCTACTAAACATTTCAGGAGAATCCTTGTTAACCTACTTTGTATTTAGTAGGTTCAGAAAGAACAAAAGTGACACCATGTTCCCTTTGGCAAACCCAAAATCATGCTCCCAGCCCTAACCCTACCATTGCCTGTCTCCCACCATTAGACTGCTCTGCTATGCCAAGCCTGTCTCTCATGACAACTGCTGCTCCTACTCCTGAATACACCCTGTAATCAAACAGCAGAAAGTTTATCGTAATTTCCCCTCAGTAGCCATCCATGTGCTCTTGGCATCTTCGCTCATCACTCCATACTTGACCTCGCCTCAGCGACTAAGCAAACACATGGAAGTAAGCACACATAAAATTGGAGCACCTCCTTTGCCACATGCTGCATTCCTTTGCAAAATGAGAAGGCACTTCCTCTCTCTGTCAGAGTCACAGCGGAATCAGGTAAGGAGTGAGGGATGCTGCTGACAGAGGTAGGAATAAAGAAGCTGAAAAGGCTAGCTAGCAGTGTTCACCACACCCCCAGAGTCAGCACATTCCCTTCATTGTGACACTGCTGGGAGCCTGAGGATTAATCTGATCTTCTGTTCAAAAGGAGGAGCCTAGCCGGGCTTGGTGGCTCAGCCTGTAATCCCGCGCTTTGGGAGGCTGAGGTGAGAGGATTGCCTGAGCCCGTGGGTTTGAGACCTGCCTGGGCAACTTTGCGAGACCTTATCTCTACAATAAATAAAAAAATCAGCTGGACATGGTAGCGCGTGCCTGTAATTCCGGCTACTCGGAAGGCTGAGGCGGAAGGATCGCCGGAGCCCAGCAGGTTGAGGCTGCGGTGGCAGGCAGGGGCCACTGCACTCCAGTCTAGGCCACAGAGAGATTCCAACTCAAAAAAAACAACAACAAAAGGAGGAACCTATTATTCAGGAAATTCCAGTCACTTATTGCTCTTATAGCAAGGTTTTACTGTATACTTTTAAAACAAATTAACAAGATGTTATTTTTTTAATGAATAACTTAAAAATTAATAAAAAAAAAACTGCCTTTGTTTTTAGGGAGTAATACTCTAGACACAAAGGATTAATGAAATCTATCAGCTCTGGGGAATTCCCTTAGCAGCTCTATCACCTATGATTAATGAGATAACATAAAATCAGAATTCCTGACCTGGGTGTTAAATGGTACCAATTAACCACAGTATTAACTGCAATGACTTACAACTGTATTACCTGAAGTTATCATGGTGAAGTATCAGAAAAAGTGAAATCATAAATATTTTCCACAGCACCATAAAGTTTTATAAAATACTATTTCAGTTAATGTACAACCTCAAGATTTTGGTCCATCATTCATATTAGGCTTAACCTCTTCTTTTACCAATAATAGTTCTGACAGAGGCCATATGGCATAACTATAACATGAAGATGATATATTTTACTGAAGAACCTGTAATATATACTTACTTAGTCACTGTGTCAGCTATATCCATTGGCTATTGGATTCAAAAGCCAGGAAAAGGTGGTTTTGCCATTTATATTCTAATCACAAATTTTAATTTGCCAAAAGGACCTAAGTTGTAACTAAGATATTTGTCGTAACTAAAAAAATTCTTTTATATCTGTTTGTTTTGGTACTGTGTGTTCTTATGGGTCTTGTTTTTATATGATAATATTTTGCAAATGACTCTGAGTCTTTCAAGTAAGAATACAGTGATGTACTTTGAATTTTAAAGTAAATGGAAGTGGAAACAGACAAATTTTATAGCCAAATTATCTGGAATTATATGCAACAAGTTACTGTTAATTAAAAAAACAGAGTGGATCCCCCCAATATCTAGCATGCTCATGGATCTCCTACAACTGTTAGTGTGTGCTATGTTGAACTGTTAGTTCAACACTGACCTAAGCAAAACATAATTGGAAGTACTTGCATACCAAAAGACATACTCTGCACTCAAAAGCCAAATACGAATTGAGTTTGGGATTATCTAATTGAGTTTGGGATTATCGTCCATTAATGCACAAAACTGAGACTTGGCTGTACTACAAATTAACTAGCACTAGAGTAAACTTGCTATAAAATTATTTGTAACAAAATAAATATTTTCAGTCACTCTACACTAAGTGATATATAAATCATTAGCAGTTTATAACATTAGCTTAGGTCACTTTTTGGGGACCTAAACATACTGTACAATCCTGAGTTAAAGGATAGGGATACAATTTCGTGGGGATCTTTCTTGACCAGGAATCATAAAGAAAACACATAAACCACAACTTGTAATAATACCCACTTTCATGGGATCTTTCTAGACCAGGAATCATAAAGAAAACACATTAAACCACAACTTGTAATTATCCCCATTTTCATTAGAAGTACCATGAGTTCTTTTTCCTTTGGTAAATAAGTTTATCTGTGTAAACCATTGATCTTGATGGAGTAAAATTAAGCAGAGTTTCTGCTAGGATTCTTCCATCACCTTTTGACACTGATACAGTAAATAGTCAGGAAGAGAAGAGCAGGAAGATCTGAACCACAGGGCTAAAACATCAGCATGAACTCGGCAGTGCAGCAAGCAGGGGATGGATGGGAGGAGCTGACAGGCCAATAGGCCCTCATTGCCTACAACACAAAAATGAAAAATAACTTATTTTACAAAAGACCTTCAACAGACATTTCTCTAAGAAGATATATAAATGGTCAATAAGCAAATGAAAACATGCTCAGTATCACAATCACAAAGGAAATTGCAAGCTGAAAGCACGAGATACTATTTCATACCCATTATGATGGCTAATATATATATTTTTTAAAGTAGAAAATAACAAATGTTGGTAAAGATATGGGGAAATTGGAACCCTTGCACATTGTTGGTGGGAATGTAAAATGGTGGCATTGTTGTGAAAAAATGATAGGACAGTTTCTCAAAAAATTAAATACAGAATTACCATATAATCCAGCAATTACACTTCTGAGTATAGAACCAAAAGAAGGGAAAGCAAGGACATAAATGGATATTTGTATACTCACGTTCATGTCATATTCACAACAGCCAAAAAGTGCAAGTACCTAAGCAGTCACTTACAGATGAATTCAAATGTGGTATATTCATACAGAGAAATGGTATTCAAGCTTAAGAAGAAAAAAATTCTGACACAGGCTACAACATGAATCACTCTTGAAGGCATTATCCTAAGTGAAATAAGCCACACACCAAAGGACAAATATTGTAGAATTACAGTTATATAAGTTACCTAACATTGTCAAATCCAAAGACAAAAAATAAAATGGTGGTTGCCAAGGGCCAAGGAGAAAGGGATAATGGGGAGTTATTGTTTAATGGGTACAGAGTTTCAGCTGAAAGAAATGAAAAGTTCTGGAGATAGGTGGTGGTAATGGTTGCACAACAGTGTGAATATACTTAATGTCACTAAACTATACATTTAAAAATTGTTGGCCAGGCACAGGGGCTCAAAGCTGTAATCCTAGCACTTTGGGAGACCAAGGTAAGGGGATTGCCTGAGTCCACAGGTTCAAGAACAACCTGGGCAACTTGGCGAGACCTCGTGTCTACAGTATATCAAAAAATTAGCCAGGCGTGGTAGCACACGCCTGTAGTTCTGGCTACTTGGAAGGCTGAGGCGGAGAGATCACCTGAGCCCAGCAGGTCGACGATGGGGTGGCCACGAGTGTGCCACTGCACTCTAGCCTAGGCGACAGAGTGAGATTCCAACTCAAAAAAAAAAATTGTCAAAATGGTACATTTTATGTTATGTGTATTTTCTAATTAAAAATTATTTAGGCCAGGCGAGGTGGCTCAAGCCTATATCCCAGCATTTTGGGAGGCTGAGGTAAGAGGACTGCCTGAGCCCACGGGTTCGAGACCAGCCTGGACAACTTGGCAAGACCTCATCTCTATAATAAATAAAAAAATTAGCCAGCATGTAGCACATACCTGCAGTTCTGGCTACTTGGAAGGCTGAGGCGAAAGGATCACCTAAGCTCAGCATGTAGATGGCTGGGGTGGCCATGAGCATGCCACTGTACTCCAGCCTGGGTGACAGAGTGAGACTCCAACTCAAAAAAAAAAATTATTTAATATAGCCTGAAAAACACATCATCTGAAAGATAGTGGCAATAGGAAACACAGCTTAAGAAATTTAACACTTGTAATAGCTTATATGTATTCTGATTGTATGAAAGCTCCTATAAACACCGAATTGCCTTTTCATAACTCTACGAACCTATAATGTCAATAACATGAAGCCTTAGTTTCTGTTGCAGGATCTTTAGGGCAGAAGGCAGAGCAGCTTGAGAGTCTGATATTTTAATATTTTGCTTCACATCACTTGCAAAGGATAACCAGAGTTTGCCAAAGTCCTCCGTTGAGATTTTCAATGGTCTGAAAATAATTTTTAAAATTAGATTTCTGTCCAATAAGAAATGAAATGATTCTAAATAAATACACTTCAAATGCCTCATGAGAATAAAATATAATCATTGTAAATCTGGGTCCCAAAACAATTGTTTTTAAACCAAATATGACTAGAATGCTTAGTATCATCCTCTAAACTGACAAATATAATGAAAGCAGGGGATATTATTAAATTTAAAATGCCATTCTAATAAATCACTAAGTTCTCTCTCTGTCTGAATATTAGTCATTCCAGTAAGATTTACCAAGTAATTTTGTGAATCATTCAAATATAATGTAAAATTTTTCTCTCATTTATACTTTGAATTTGGTGATAAGATATGCTATCAAAGTTATGTAAAAGAATATGAATACAAAGATCCAGCACCTTAAATAAACTAGACCAAGAGAAGGACTTTATCAAATACATATTTTAAGTGGTTCATGAAACTAAAAATCAAATAGTTAAAACTGGGTATCTCTGAGGATGGGATTATAAGAACTTTTATATTCTACTTATATTTTTCTACATTTAAATTTTACAGAATCGGCCAGGCATGGTGGCTCAAGCCTGCAATCCCAGCACTTTGGGAGGTCAAGGCGAGGGAACTGCCTGAGTCCATGGGTTCAAGAACAGCCTGGGCAACTTAGCAAGACCCCATTTCTACAATCAATCAAAAAATTAGCCAGGCAAGGTAGCACACGCCTATAGTTCCAGTTACTTGGAAGGATGAGGTGGAAGGATTGCCTGAGCCCAGTGGGCTGATTCTGGGGTGGCCATGAACATGCCACTGCACTCCAGCCTGGGCAACGGAGTGAGAATCCAACTAAAAAAAATTTTTTTTTTACAATATCTAATGATTTTATAATCAACAAATATATCTTTCTTTAAAGATACAGAGGATTTTACTAATACACACAGAACAACTGTGTTACAGATATTGTGCTTCTTCAGATTACTAGTGTTCATGATGGGATACACCTTCAGTCACAGAAGGTAAGTTTTTTGAAGGATGGATTTTACAGATGCAAATACAGTACTCTGATAGGCATATTCTTACCAAAAGACTTTAAAGAGTGGGCAACACAAATACATATAGTAGTATAACACAAATGTGTTGAAGTTAAAAAATTTTTCACAGATATTCACTGGTATTCTGCATTCTTGGCTCAGTCAGCCTTCATTTTTTAAAATGTTCAAATACAGTACAATACATTTATAACACTAAATGAAGCAGATGAGTTAAGAGGTTGTTCTCAATTACTTTATAACACTGCACAGTGCCAAATATAATTTTTAATAAAAAATAAGTTTAATAACTATGCTGGGTAATTTTCTTAGTTCTCTAAAGCTTAGCAAACAGATTTTATGAAAAAATTAATTAAAGGAATGAAATACTAATGAAAGAAATTTTAAAAGTTTAAAAAAAAAAAGCTATGCAGAATTTTTGGAGATATTTAATTTAAATAGTACTTTCAGAAGTTTTTCCAGGTTACTAACCAATTTCCAACTAAATTAGGTCTCGTACTCTCTCATTGTACCATTTATTTTCTCATAGCACTGTTCATAATTACAAATGTATTTATGTAATGCTATAAATAAATACATATGTATTTCTCAAACTTCACTTGAGAAAAATTCACTAGCACAAATAATTAAGAAACAATAGTACATAAGGTCAAAATTATGTTCAATGTCTTCTCCTTAGACTAGAAATTTCCTTAAGGTAGGAACTGAGTCTAGGTTTCTTTTTTTTTTTTTTGAGTTGGAGTCTCACTCTGTCACCCAGACTGGAGTGCAGTGGCCGCTCCCGGTCACCGCAGCCTCAACCTGCTGGGCTCCGGTGATCCTTCCACCTCAGCCTTCCGAGTAGCTGGAATTACAGGTGCGTGCTACCACACTCGGCTGATTTTTTGATTTATTGTAGAGATGAGGTCTCGCTGCCCAGGCGGGTCTCGAACCCGCGGGCTCAGGCAATCCACTCACCTCAGCCTCCCAAAGGCACGGGATTACAGGCTGAGCCACCAAGCCCGGCTGAGCCTAGGTTTTAACTGTTATTCTCCCTAGCATCTAGTAGAGTGCCTCTGTCCAGAGCAGAGGTCTAAATTACAGTTGCTGAATGAATGAATGAATAGCTTGAATTAACATTCCATAAAATATTTACCGAATGAAATCTAACAGTGATAAGTCTATGGAAAATTCCAGTTGAACAGAATGAGCATCCACCATTTCATAATTTATAAAACCAGAAAGATTCCCTTCTGTAAAAGGTTTTTCCATCTGCACACTATACTGAAAGTTTTCCGTGCTTTCTGCTTCCATTATAGGCAAACAGCATCCAGGTTTCTCAGTGACCTATAAATAAAAGTAATAAAAGTATTGATGAAGGGATCAACACTGACTGCTATATGAATACCAATTTTCCATTTAATTGAAGTGGCACACAAGCATACTAATGTGAGATGTTAATAAAAACCACATTATGAAGATGACTGACAACCTCACTTGAGAAAAATTCGCTAGCACAAAGAATTAATAAATAATAGTACATAGGTCAAAATTATGTTAACAAATGGCATTACAGTTAAGACCTCTGTATAATTATTTTGTAAAAGATTACTAAACTCTAGTCTGGTGGCTCCCAATTGTGGTTGGCACCAGATTTTAAAGCTAGGAGAGTTTTAAATAATAAAAAAATGCTGGGCATAGTGGTTCACACTTATAATCCCAGCACCTTGAGAAGATCAAGGCAGAAGGATCACTTGGGCCCAGGAGCTCGAGATCAGCATGGGCAATAACCAAACCTTGTCTCTAAGTTAAACAAATAAAAAATAATTTTAAAATTAATAAAAAGAATACAGGTGTCTTCCATTTTCATTCTCCACTTGTACTCAAACTCTGGTGGAAGAGTTCAGGTAATTGGGTTGGGCTTCGCTGTTTTTTAAAGTGCCACAGGTGATTTTTTTTTTTTTTCAGTTGGAGTCTCACTCTGTTGCCCAGACTGGAGTGCAGTGGCATGCTCCCAGCCACCGCAGCCTTGACCTGCTGGGCTCCGGCGATCCTTCCGCCTCAGCCCTCCAAGTAGCCGTAAGGAACTAAAGGTGCACACTACCACGCCCAGCTAATTTTAAAAAATTTATTGTAGAGATGAGGTCTCGCCAAGTTGCCCAGGTGGGTCTCAAACCCGCAGGCTCAGGCAATCCACTCACCTCGGCCTCCCAAAGTGCTGGGATTAGAGGCTGAGCCACCGAGTCCGGCAGCCACAGGTGATTCTAATGCACATCTAGAGTCAGGAACTTCTGTCCTGGTCAGAGGCCCAGACAATATCCCATTCAACAAATTCTAGCTCACAGAGGAAATTAAATCAGTTTTGTGGAAGATAAATATGCTGGTCAAATCTCATTATAACAGCACCAAGGACATCTACACAATAATGCAATTAAACATACATCCAGAGGCTAAGTGCAGTGGCTCACATCTATAATCCTAGCACTTTGGAAAGCCACGGCAGGAGAACTGCTTGAAGTCAGAGTTCTAGACCAGCTTGGACAATATAGCAAGACACCATCACTACAAAAATTTTAAAAAATTAGCCAGGCATGGTGGCACGCACCTATAGTCTCAGCTACTCCAGAGGCTGAGGTGGGAGGATTGCTTGAGCCTAGGAGATTGAGGCTGCGATGAGCCAAGTTCGTGCCACTGCACTCCATCCTGGGAGACAGTGAGACTCAAAAACAAACAAACAAATAAAAATATACATCCAGAAATCACAATAGCAGTCCCTTGGAGGTAGGGAAGAAAGAGAACTGAAGCTTAAACACTCAGTATAGAAAAATAAATCAATGACAGAAAAAAAGTAGACAATATACACATTTATTCTTTAATACCCTTACTCACTGATATTCCATTTTATTACATAATTTGAGAATTTTGTTTCAGTGTTTTGTTTTGTTTTTCGAGACAGTATCTTGTTCTGTCACCCAGGCTCAAGTGCAGTGACTCAATTAAAGCTCACTGCAACCTCGATGTCCTGGGCTCAAGCTATCCTCCTAGCCCAGTAACTAGGACTACAGGGGTGCACCACCATGCCCAACTAATTTTTATATTTTGTGCTGAGGGAGGTCTCGCTCTGTTGCTCAGGCTGGTCTCAAACTCCTGGCCTTTAGTAATCCTCCCACCTTGGCTTCCCAAAGTCCTGGGATTATAGGTATTAGTCACCACACCTAGTCTCCTCCCAGTTTTTATAACAAATTGAATGAGACACTTAAAGAGTGTAGAAAAAGAGAACCTAAAATACACATTGATAATGACAAAATAACATGATGTGTCATGTATTGCTGTATTTTAAAAATATTAATTCATTTATCCTCACAGCAACAGGCACACATTAGTAATAGTCTCATTTTAAACATGAGGCACAAAGCAGTTAAATAACTTAACCATGAAAGACAGCTAATAAGCTGCAGAAACATGATTCAAACCCAAGAAGTCGAAGTCAAGAGTGCACATTCTTTACTATGCTGTTGAAACTCACTTTGTATCTATGGCCTTTCCCAGGACAACTTTTATTATGCTTTCTTGTCTCTTTTGAATAATTCATTCCTATTAAAAATAACAAAACTTTTGTCACACCTCTTACCTGTTATTGCTAAAGAGATAAGAAGGACGTGGATGAAATTTATAAACACCAGAAATAGTAAGCACTGCCCAGTTAAGGTAGAAAGGATGAATACTATCTAGGCATCATTATCTTACCTTGAAATCTTCTGCAGGAAAAATTTCTAAGTTAGCACTTTTCAATTCCGAATCAGTCTTATTAGTGATTGACAAGACCATCAACAAACAATCATCTTCCCAAATTTTGTAAGAAAACATTGATATGGTTTCATTACTACAGACTTCCATAAGATTTGAATGTATGTATTCAGTAGTTTCTTCCAACAAAGAAGACGCTAAAGAGATTTCCTTGGCAACTAAGGCTGCAGTAGACTGAGGAGGGTGAAAAATTTCCATGTTGTTATCAGCAAATAAAGAAGGCTTAGACAGGCTGCAATCTGACAGTTTCTTAACCAAAGGCAGCTCTGTGAGTGACTCAGGATCCAAAAGTTCTGAATTGAGAGAAAATTTCTTTAATTCTTTATCCTGTAAAGTATTCAAGTAATAATCTTCTTCATATGCCACACCTGACAAAGAACTAAAGGAAGAACAAGCCATATTATGAGTACTCGTCGTTTCTTCACTTTTTTTTCCCTTGACTTTTGCTTTCCTTCTGAACTTGTGAGAGACAGTATCTGCTTTTCCCAGCTGCAAAACAAAACACAATAATATAAGAAACCATTCTACTAGTCACAACTTTTAAACATTCTTCTATAATTTCAAATGAGCAATTTACTAACTTTCTAAGGTTCTAAAGCATAGATTAACAAATAATCAGAGATGAATAACATGTTAAGCCTTAAAATTCTGACATCTATATAATTTTGAACTATTAGTTGAACCCTTATTGCTCATAAAAACTACATGGAATCAGAAAAAGAAATAAGATTAAAAAGTCAGTCATGAGCAATTCTAAAAACTTGTTAGATTTCAGAATGCTAGATTACAGAATTGAACAAATTAAAAAGTTGAAAAAAAACCTAGCCATTTTTTAAGTTTCCAAAGTCGTCCTATAGAAGCCTAAGTCATTCTTGAATACAGGGAGGACACAAATTCTGCTTTAGTAATCTATAATAATCATGATTTCATGGCCCGTGAGTTAATAAGCAGGGAAGAAAAACTGACGTTACTTCAAGAAGCAACTGGCAATAGCTGATTGGAAAACCTAACAGGAAAGAACTCTACAATTGACTAGTGATGTTTGCTAAAGACTCAGAAGACAGGAACAGCAAATTTGTCACCCTTGATCTATATCTTCTGAAGAACAGACTGTAAATCTATGTAAGAAGAATGATGGTTCAAGTGTTCCCCTGATTCACAAAGTTCTATCTAGAGTCGAGGCAGTAGACCAGCACTACTCTAAGTCCACACACATCTCTATTCCCCTAGGAGCTTCAACACTGTGCAGAAGCCTTCACGTGATTATAGTTCATTAGAATTCTAGTTCCTTTTTCATAGCTTCTCCACTTCCCTCAAGCCTCGACACCTTCTTCCAAATCTCAACAGATGAGTTTGTCTCTTAACTCCCAATTCAGAAGTCATCAAACAAAACAAAAGAAGGGGTAGAGAGGAAAGGATTTTTATTTCCAGTTGTTACGGGACTTGAATTCGATATATATAAATTGCTTGTCCCTCACGTCACAGATGTTCTGTTCCTTTCTTTTTAAAAATTTTCTATGTTTCATTTTGGATAGTTTCTATTACTTTTGTCTTCAAGTTTCATGACTGTTTCTTCTACGCTGCCAATCTCCTGTTAATCAGAAGCTACACAGGCTAGAAAACAGTGTAGTGATATCTTTCTAAAATACTTAAAGAATGGAAACAGTCAGCCTAGCATTGCATACCCAGAGAAAATGTCTTTTAAAAATGAAGGTGAAGCTGGGCTCGGTGGCTCAGCCTGTAATCTGTGCCTTTAGGAGGCTGAGGTGAGTGGATTGCCTGAGCCTGCGGGTTCGAGACCCGCCTGGGCAGGCGAGACCTCATCTCTACAATAAATCAAAAAATTAGCTGGGTGTGGTAGCATGCGCCTGTAATTCCGGTTACTCGGAAGGCTGAAGCAGAAGGATCGCCGGAGCCCAGTAGGTCGAAGCTGCGGTGGCCAGGAGTGGCCACTGCACTCCAGTCTGGGCGACAGAGTGAGACTCCAACTCAAAAAAAAAAAAAATGAAGGTGAAATAAAAAGCCAAAGGCGTAAAAGCAAATAAACCTCGACCCCCACAATGAACTATGTAAAAAATTAACTCAAATGGATCTGAGGGCTGGGCGTGGTAGCGCATGCTTGTAACCCCAGCTACTCAGGAGGCTGAGACATAAAGATCACTTGAGCCCAGGAGGTCAAAAGTGGCATGATCCTGCCACTGCACTCCAGCCCAGGTGACAGTGAGACCTTGACTTTAAAAAAAAAAAAAAAGGGATCAGAGACATAAAAATAAAAACTATTTAAAATGAAAGGGGTGAGGGATAGAAAATTACCTATCTGATAAATGTGCATTAGTGGAGGTGATGGGCACACTTAAAGTCCAGACTTCTTCACTACTATACAGTATGTCCATGTAACTGAAAATGACTTGTACTCCCTCAAGCTATTGAAATTAAAATAAAAAAAGAAATACATTAACATAAACTTGATCTATATAACCGAGAACCCTAAAAACATTAGAAAAATCAGTAGGGAATAGGATAGCTAGAGAAAAACAGTCATCCAAAATGAGGTATAACACAGAAGGAGCATATTCAGTTAGTCCCAATCCTGTCTGCGTTGCTATAATGACAGAGGAAAAGTTGGGTTTAAGGGGTGAGAGGATACATGCTAATTTTACATCATCATTAGCTTCTTCTGCATGAAGCCATCTGTGTTACAACAAAGTTTTTCACAGAATTTAAGGTTCTGTAAAAACAGGGAAATTCACTCTTTTTTTTTTTTTTTACTATTCACCAATAACTGGGGAGGGGAGTGAGGGAGGAAGCATAAGGAATAAACCAAAAAGGATTTAGCACTAATTTAAACAGAAAAAAAAGTCATAATTATATTTCTGATTTCAAGTTCACCACAAAAAATCCTGATATTAATTTGTCACCCTGAATATTCCCCTGAAAACCAAAAGCTATGCTGCACTTGTTAAGTAGGCTGGAATACCTCCAGGAACCAGCAACAAGGTTCACAAATCAGGACTCCATGAGTCTGGGTGTAATCTGACTTTGACATGCTGTTATCAGAGCATTCATTGGTACCCTCTCATCACAGCCTGCCAGAACAACTCAAAGATCCAAGGATCAGTCACTTTGCTGCTGAGCGGCAAATGTCAACTGAAACAACATTAAGGTACATTAATAACTAATACTTTAGGGCAAATTTGTTTTTTCTTAAGAGAGAATATCGACCCTGACAGAAATGAGATCTAGACTGGTAAGTCTAAAAAAGAAAGAGACAGCTAAAGAGTGTAGCATAATGTACCATCTGGCCTGGTGTTGACAGGAATGAAGGGAAAATTCCACCAAGGAAAAGGAGGATGAAAGAAAGGGGATGTCACACTAATCACAACTTTGTACTAGGTGGGTTCATAAGTTCACCAAAAGGAGAATTACATGGTATTCCCAAATGCTCAAAAATAGCACCTGTCCTTCACTCTAACTTGCCATTCTCTTACTATGAAAATAATTTATCAGTATAAAAAGTCTGAAAATTATTATAATCCTAGTGTCAAAATATAATTATCATTTTTGTATAATTCTTTCCAGTCTCAGATATAAACAAGGTATAAATAAAAATTTATACTCTAGGTTTTTTTGAGTCAGAGTCTCATTCTGTTGCTCAGGCTGGAGTGCAGTGGTATGATTACAGCTACTGTAGCCTCAACATGTTGGGCTCAGACGATCCTTCCACCACAGCCTTCCAAGTAGCTGGGACTACAAGTGTGTGCCACCATACCTGGCTAATTTTTTTATTATTTATTTATTTATTCATTTTTTTTGAGTTGGAGTCTCACTCTGTCACCCAGACTGGAGTGCAATGGCCGCTCCTGGCCACCGCAGCCTCGACCTGCTGGGCTCCGGCGATCCTTCCACCTCAGCCTTCCACATAGCTGGAACTACTGGCGCGTGCTACCATGCCCAGCTGATTTTTGATTTGTTGTAGAGATGAGGTCTCGTCACTGGTGGCCCCTGAGCTGGGAGGTGATGGTGAGTAAGAGCTGGGGAAGCTTTTTTGCACCATGTGTATAGATGATAGCCAGGAGCTTTTATAGAGCCAGTTTTTTTATATAAAGAAGGATACAGATTCTCAGAGACTATACAGTAACTGACTACTTACCAAATTGATTGTACTTTCTGATCCTAGCCCAACAAATAATGATGATGCCAGCAGTTGCTTTTCTTTCTCCTCTTTAGATTGGGTAAGGATTTGAGAGTGATCCTGTTTTATTATAGCTTGATCTACATTCTCCATTATTACACTCTCTTGAGGAACAGGTGGGGCCTCACTTTCATCACCAGTTTTGCTTTCCTTCTTAGGAAGATAGCCCTCTTTCCCCCACAATTTCTTTATACCTTCCAGCTTCAAGCTATTTGTCCTAAGGAGGTTGGAAATGAAATCAAGTCAATTTAAATAATAGCTAGTTATTTTATAGAAGCATTTTTTTTCAAAACACAAAATGCCCATGGCCTTTTAGAAACAGTTTTCACATTATATTCTATATGCTAGAAGTAAAACTTAGATCTCTAGATTTTATTTTAGTTATAGCCACATCCTCCCATCCTTTAGTCAAAGGATTTAGGGCAGCAGAACTCTACATTTAGTTTAAAACTTTATATCATTTTTCATTTAATTACTTGAATAAGCTATACAAAAATAGAGCTACTATAAATCAGTTCCTTTTTCCCACTGACTTTTCAAAAATATCTTTAATTTGATGGATTAAAGATCAGAAATGATTCTTAAGTTTCTTAACTACATGAAGGAACTAAATCTATATAAATTGATGAAATAAAATCCTTTTAAAAGAAAAAAGAAAAAAATCAACGTATTTCTATGTGTAAATTTATTTTTAATCCAAAAAGTTTTCTCAATTTAAACAGTAACTACATTTTCAAGTATTATAAACGCACTTTTTAGAAACATGAAATGAAATTTTATCTATAAAAGAAAAAAGTAAGATTTTAGGAAAAAGGCATGAAACTTAGGAATTTTTGTACCTGAATTGAAGAATTAAAATAATTTTAGGGCCAGGCTCGGTGGCTCAGCCTGAATTCCAGCACTTTGGGAGGCTGAGGCAAGTGGATTGCCTGAGCCTACGGGTTCAAGACCCACCTGGGCAACTTGGCGAGACTTCATCTCTACAATAAATCAAAAATTAGTTTGGCGTGGTAGCGTGCGCCTGTAGTTCTGGCTACTTGGAAGGCTGAGGCGGAAGGATCGCCGGAACCCAGCAGGTCGAGGCTGTGGTGGCCAGGAGCGTGCCACTGCACTCCAGTCTGAGTGAAAGAGTGAGACTCCAACTCCAAAAATTTTTAAAAAATGTTAGGAACCAGATGTCCTGCCCCAAAAGCCCAAAAGCGTAGGCAAGGTGTCTAGGCAATAAGTCCAGGACCAAATTTAGAATACGGGCTCCCCTAAATGTACCCAAAAGTACCAAAAAGTCACTGCTGTGAATCTGGAGTGACTAATAAGTGCAGGCTAAAAGAGCCAATGATTGTCTCTATTGTTCTCATATAAGAGGTATGTGTCCATTAATTAGTTTGATTGTAGTTATTTCACCATATATATATATAATCAAAACATCACGTTGTACACCTTAAATATATATATTGACCCTTGAACAATGTGGGTTTGGGGCATCAACTCCCCACACAGTTAAAAATCTGCATATAACTTTTGACTTCCCAAAAAGTTAGTCACTAATGGCCTGCTATTGACTGGAAGTCTTACTAATAACATAAACATTGATGCACAAATAGACTAGTATCTATGTATATTATATATTCATGGCATACCTAATTTTTTCTCTCTTTATTTGGCATTTCTAGGCTACATAGTTTGTCAGCAGTTTTTTCAAACTGTCTCAAATCTGCAAAATTTTATCCAATATATTTATTGAAAAAAATATGCATATTAAATAGCCCTGCAGCACAGTTCAAACCCATTTTGCTTAAAAGTCAACAGTACAATTTTTACTTGCCAATCATACCTCAATAAAGCTGGGGCCCAAAAAGAATTTTATGCCCTTGGCACTTGGTTCAAGTTTCCTTGTCATGGTCTAAAATAGCATTTATAATTTATAATACAAGAAAGGTAGACTGTAAGATGAATCTAAAAGGAGGACTCAGAAATTATCTGTACTAACTATTATTCTCATCTAAATTGTTGTAATCATGATATCATGATTTTTTTCCCCTTAGTCTGTATCTTATTCTGCCTGGCTAATTTTTGTAGAGATAAAATGCTATGTTGCCCAGACTGGTCTCAAACTCCTGGGCTCAACAATCCTCCCACCTCAGCCTCTCAGAGTGCTGAGATTAAAGCATGAGCCACTGTGCCAAGCCATGATCAATTTTATTTTGAAGCCAAAACAAAATGTAATTTTACTTCATACTGAGTGAAGAATTAATGCTATTAAGTAGTAAGTGGCTGAAGAAAAACTTGAGAGTTAATAAAAAATGCACTATAGAGAATTGATTCAATCCTCTTCAATTAATTTTACTGCTGAGTATCCCTTTACAAATATCTTAATTTCCCCTCTTCTTTTAGGAACCAAAAGGGTTTTCTAAAGAAAAAAAAAGTTATCCAATAAAACTCTTAGAAGTAAAATGGTTGTTCTTGCCAAAAGCAGATCCAAAAGTGGTCCTGGGAACCAGTGAAATAACTCCTACCAACTCTAGACTAGAATGCTAAAAAGTAGTACCTCTAAAAAACTCATGAATACTTACAGTAGGATTACAATGTCTCTGTACCATCCTTTAGCCAAAACATATCCTTTATTTACAAAAAAAGAATAAGTCCCCCAATTTTACTAATGAATGATTTAAATATTCGTTTATCAAAAAAAAGATAGGTGTGTTGGACACTAGGCTGCTCCATCCAGATCCCCCTTCAATGTGGGCACAGCTCCTGGGAGTGCTGTCAGTTCTCAGGTCCTTCAGGGACTGCCTCAGTGGCAGAGAGTCATTCACTTGAGATCCCACCCCTTCTGGGGCAGCCTTTACGAACACAAGTGTTAAGTACTTGCCACTCATCTTGGTCCAACTCAGGCCAATTCTGAAAGGTCATTTTAGCTCCAGAGCTCCCTCTGGGGTCAGCAGAGGCTGTCACAGGCAATGAGTTGTATCTTAACTTCCTCTGCCCAAACCTACATGTGTTCCCTTCCTTCCACAGATGTCGATCCCAAGGGCAGTCATTATTCTGCACTCTAAATGTCATCACAGAATATATATCCCAAGGAACCCAACCCACAATAGGCAAAAGGGAGAGAGGGAATGACAAAAGGAATCTAAAAGGAGCCCCAAGCTATTTTAAAGATTTTTCTCTTATTTTATCTGCATATATGCCTATTATAAATATAAACTTTGTCATGCATTACATATAGTCTTAAAAGTAGGAAAATACATAAGAAAGCAGCAGAAGGCTATTTTATATACAAAATATGTCTCTTAATGCTATGAAACATATGTAAAAAGAATTTTTTAAACATGAGTCACCTTTGCCTGAATTTTGACAACCTATATTATATAATGCATGGTCTTATATGGTATGCCTTTGTATTATTTTTAATCAGACCATTCAAACACAGAAGTAAATTCTGACCAAGTAACCTTCAAAAGATAAGGGATGTACTTTAGCTCAGCTCTAGAAATTCTCATTTGAGGTCGGATGCTACCAGATAAAAAATTATAAATCGGGCTTTATTTTCAGCTTGTCAGCACTTGTCTCCCCTCTAAAGCTCATTCACCTTGCCAATTACCTCATAGGTTCCTCCTCTGAAATAACATGTGAGCTGAGGTCCTCTGCAGAAAGAAATTTTAAATTCATCTCCCATGTTCCGTTTCACGATAATATAGCATACATAATTCCTTAGCAGTTTTGCCAAATGCCATTTCTCTGAGGGAAGTACACATATATGTACAGGATTCACAAGGTCCTATCTTGTCCCCCAGATCCTAGTTCAGAACTAAAGTAGCAAGTGCTGTCACCTGTTGTGCATGTAAAAGTGACTGTGTAAGTTCCCCCTTGGGTTTGGAGGGCTCCTGTCTCTCTTTCCTTCACCCTTTTGTTCCCTGTTTGGGGCATTTAATTGCTGTTACCTCCACCATCAAATGCCCGCAAGCCATATCTGCTCCCCATCCTTAGAGTACCAAATTAAATGTTTAGGGGAAGAAAATAAGAGTATTAACAGAGCAGGGGAAAAAATGAGATCTGAACTTAAGTCATTTCATGCAGCATATTACTCTACATTCCTTATAGTCTATTTGTGTTATTCTTCTGATAAATACTTCCTATAATCACTTCACTGAAAGACTGACAAATATAAGAATGAACATAAAATCAGGTGATTGGCCTCTTAATAGGCAGGAGAGCTCAAAATTCAAATGTCATCCTTTAAGGTTGTCACCTTTGAGATTTTATCATATCTATCTCCACAATGCTGCCAATACTTAAGATATTTTGAACTCTTTTAGATGAAACTCCTCCACAAACAGGAAAGCCATTTTCATTATTTTACTGTCACAACAGTAATATTGATCAAAATTATTCAGATTAATCACTAATTTTATTTGGAAAACTCAGCTTTTGAATAATGGTGCTAATAATGGTAATGACAATTATTATTAACAATAGCAGCTACCATTTACCAATCACTTACTCTGTACCGGGTTGTACTATGTACTTTATTATATATATATATATAAAATCTCATTTTATTAGCTTATGTTTCTAAAAGTAATTGAAAATTTCTAAAATCAAAATCTACCTTAAAGGGATGAAATTTGACTCCAAATAAGATATTTAAACAAACCCATCACCAAAGTTCAAGGTGGCCAGAAAGAAGCTATGAAAGCATTCTGGCAAAGAATATAGCTTCCTCAGGTGAGTACAGACGGTCCCTAACTTACAATGGTTCAGTTTAAGATTTTTCAACTTTACAAAAGTGAAAAAGCAATATGAGTTCAGTAGAAACTGTACTTTGAATTCTGAATTTTCATCTTTTCTCAGGCTAGTTATATACAGTACAATATTCCACAAAAATGCTGTTCTGGGCATGTTTCAGGTAGGTTAGGTTAAACCATTATATTCAGTAGGTTAGGTGCATTAAATACATTTTTTAAAAACTTATATTTTCAGCTTTCAATGGGTTTATCACGACGTAACTTCATTGTAAGTTGAGAAGTTTTTGAATACACCTTCAGGTGACTGTACAGCTTCCTCAGGTGAAATCAATCACGTTTATTTTATGTTCATCTCTAGACTTGTTAATCTTCCAGTGAGATAGTTATAAGAAATATTTATCAGAAGAATGAGGAATGTAGAATGATATGCTGAATACTTATCTTGGTGCACATTCTGATATGCTTCTTAAATATATATATATTTACAATATGGCTTGTATATATCTTATGCTATCTTGGAAGGCAGGTAAGCTTTTAAAGTATAAGAACATACTATACAATATCAATACCTTAAGAGCAATAAGTAGAAACAACTGAAACAATAGCCTACATAGAATTTAGCTATTAAAAATCTTTCTAAGTCATTGTATTAAAACACACTGTCACAAATGTGCTTCTTTGAAAACTATTTGAAAATCAGTGAAATAAACTTCTTAGAAGTCATCCTAAAATAAGCAAATAACGATCATTAGATACAAGGTAGAAGCAGAAGGCAATGGAATGCTAAAAGACATTTAAACACTACCCATATTCTCAATTTTAATAAGAAAGGCACTTACTCTTTCAGCCCTGTCTCAGCACTATTCCCAGATATATCTGAGCCAAGAGAAATGCCAGCAGGAGACTGTCGTCCAGTGAAGCCAGATGAAGAAAAGGAGAGTCCATATGGTTCAAAATTGAGAACTAGAATTTAAAAAAAACAGAAGTTCATATTTAAAATAAAACAAAAAAGCAAAATGTGGCCATTTTTAAACTGTAAGGGACGCTGGGGATGATCTAATCAAATATTTATAGTGCTAATAAAGCAACTACCATTTAGTGAATGTCTACTATGTCTTCATACTACTAGGTGATCCAAGACAAACTGTCCTACATTTTTATCTTTTTACCTCCCTAAAAGAAAGAATTCAATTAGGAAAGATAACTGACAAACCAGGTCTATAGAAAAGTTGCTGCTCTCATGCAAAAATGTGTAATGAGCTACGAATAAAGGGATGACCATGTTTTGTTCCTAGGCACATTTTTGTACCAAGTGGACTGATGGAGTCCTCAATGCGAAATCTCCCTGACAAAGAACTAGGTAATTTACTCAGGTTCTGATTTTCTTAAATCTGTGTAACCTAAATGAACTCAATAAGAACCATGAAAATACATATTGTTAGTGCAGTAGAGCAGATGCCAATATCCATTCTCCTTTTCTTTCTAAGTTCTAGAACCAGGTTATGTACCTGGTCTTAGCCAGGCACATAACCACTCAGAAAGGGTGTATTTCCAGACAACTCTACCATGTGACTGAATTCTGGCCCATGAAATTATGCACACATTTTATGTGCAACTTTCCCGCTAGCTAGACTGCAACATGATTGCTGAAGTACAAGAAACCCTCTTGAAGCATGAAAGGAACACCAAAGACATCGGAACAGCAAGAGAGGTGGAGCCTGGGTTTTTTGTTTTTTTTTTTAATCAGGAAGTTTGTCATCAACCCTTAGGTTGCCACCAGTAATTATCTGCCTTGTATAAAACCTCACACTGTTTATATATTTCAATATGCTAATTAGCTAAACCTAATCCTAACTGACCAATTAATCTTTTTGTACTGTCTAGATTATAACAAAGGACCTTCTTAAATCATAAAAAAAACTTAGAAAATATAAATGTCAACTTCTGTAATTATTACCCTCATTTTAAAAGTGAGGTGCTGGGCTCGGTGGCTCAGCCTGTAATCCCAGCGCTTTGGGAGGCCAAGGCAAGTGGATTGTCTGAGCCCACAGGTTCGAGACCAACCTGGGCCACTTGGTGAGACCTTGTCTCTACAATAAAATAAAAAATTAGCCAGGCGTGGTAGCGTATGCCTGTAGTTCCAACTCCTTGGAAGGCTGAGGTGGAAGGATCGTTGGAGACCAGCAGGTCGAGGCTGCAGTGGCCGGAAGCGTGCTACTGTACTGGAGTGTACTGTCTGGGCGACAGAGTGAGACACCAACTCAAAAAAAAAAAAAAATGAGGAAACTATGGCTAAGAGTTTGTCACAACTTATCCCAAATAAAAAAAAAGAAAATAACAGCCAGATATGAATTCACACTTCTAGTCCTAGAGCTATATCTCAACTATTATACTGCCTCCTCCAAATGAAACAGCACCTAACCAAAACAATATTAAATAAATACTTGCTTGTTAGCTAGGTGATTAATACACAAGAAGAGCAGATGCAAAGTTAAAAAATAAGAATTATAATGGTCAATAATCAGGAGAACATTGTTGTTACTAGGTATGTGAACGAGACCTTAATTTCTTCATCTATAAAGTGAGGAGTTCGGACTACATGAACAGCTTGCTGATCTGATGACCATGATCAAGTTTATTACATTAAATTCCCCAAGGATTTTTTTATACATGCAGCCAAGTTTACAGAGATTCAGAAGCAGAAGAGATAGGAGTAGGGCTCAAAAATCGGTCTCATTTTTAAAAAACTCTTTGTGATTCTGATCCATAATTATATTTGAAATCCACATTTCTAAATCTCCTTAAGCCCTTTTCAGCTAGAATATCCTCTCAGTCTATGCTTTTTAATCATCTAGCCTCACCTACTGTTTTGTTACTATAACTGAATACCACAGACTAGGTACTTTATAATGAACAGAAATCAACTTGGCTTATCGGTCTACAGGCTGAGAAGTCCAAGATCATGGCACTGTTATCTGGTGAAGACCTTCATGCTGTGTCATCCCATGGTGGAAGGCAAAGAGCATGATAGCAAGAGCTGGCCAAACTCGCTTTTATAACAACCCACTCCTATGATAATCCATTTGTAAGGGCTGAGTTCTCATGATCTAACTATCTCCTATTAAGACTCACCTCCCAACACTGCTGCATTGGTGATTAAGTTTCCAATACATTAACTTTGGAATATACATTCAGACCATAGCATTCTGCCCTAACCTTCCAAAATTCAGGTCCTCACAGTGAAAAATACATTTAGTCCATCCCAATTGTCTTGAAAGTCTTTAACTTGTTTCAGCATCAACTCAAAAGTCCAGAGTCTCATCTAAATCAGATATGGGTGAGACTTGAGGCATGATTCATCTCAAGGCAACTTCCTCTCCAGCTGTGATCCTGTGAAATTAACAAGTTATGTGCTTCTAAAATACAACAGTGGGACAGACATAAAGTAGCTACTCTCAATCTAAAAGGGAGAAACAGGCAAGAAGAAAAGAATAAATGGTTCCAAGTCAGTCCAAAACTCAACAGGAAAATCAGCATTAATCTTAAAGCTCCAGAATAATCCACTTTGACTCCATGCCCCACCTTCTGAGATACTAAGGCAGGGGTTGGAGCCCCTAAGGCCTCAGGCAGTCCTGTTTCTATTGCTTCCAGGACTCAATTCACGCAATAGCTTTCTTTGTTGGAGTCTTGTTCCTGCAACTCTCCCAGGCTGACGCTGTAAGCTTAGTAGCTCTACAGTTCTGGGGTCTCAGGATACGTGCCTCTCCCACAGCTTCACTAAGCATTGCTCTAGGGGGACTCCCTGTGGGATCCAACCCTGTGTTTCAACTCAGCATCACCCTAGCAGGGGCTCTATCCAGTGGCTTTACCCCTGTGATAAATCTCTACTTAAGGACCAGGCTATCCACAACATCATTTGAAATCTAGGTGGAAGAAGCCATGTCCTCACAGTTCTTGCATTCTGTGCACCTGCAGAATTAACACCACCTATGTGTCACCAAGGTTTACGGCTTGTATCTTGTGAAGCAGAAGGTTGAGACACACCTGAGCCTGCTCAAGTTATGGTTGAAGCAGCTGAGGAGTGTTGTGCCAAAATGCAAGGAGCAGAAACTAGACGTGGCTCTGGGCAGTGAGCCTGTGAAGGATGCCCTAAGGCCCATTCCCCAAAACATTCTTTTTAGAGCTCTGGGCCTGTGATGGGGCAACCTTGAAGCTCTCTGAAAAGCCTCTGGGGTCACTCTCCCACTGTCTTGATGATCTCTTCTATTCATACTCATCTCCTTAGGAGACAGTCACTCGGCACATCCTTGGTTTGCTCTCTTTTTCACATTTTTTCATTCTTTACATGGCCAGACTAAACATTTTCAAACTCTTCCCATTCAGCTTCTCATTTAATCATATATTCCATCTTTAAGTCATTTCTTTTCTCTTGCATCTTACTGTATGCAGTTAAAAGTATCCATACAGCTCCTTCAATATTTTACATAGAAATTTCTTCCACCAGATATTCTAGTTCATTGCCCTAAATTCCATCATCCATAAAGCTCTTGGGCATAGACACAAGTCAACCAAGATCTTTTCACTTTATAACAAGATGGCCTTTACTGCAGTTTCCAATAAGATATATTCCTCTTTTCTGTCTGAGATCCCGCAAAAATGGCATTCACTGTCTATATTTTTATCAACATTCCAATCACGAACATTTATGTCATCTCTAAGAAGTTTCAGATTTTCCTTACAGGTGCTCTCTTCTGAGCTCTGATCACCTTTAATACTCCACTTACAGCAGTCTTGGAGTTTGCCAGCCTGCTTCTCAAAATTCTTCCAGCCTCTATCCCATTACCTAGTTCCAAAGTTGCTTCCACATTTTCAGGTTATTTGTTATAGCAACACCCCTACTTCTCAGTACCAGTTTTTTGTCATAGTCCAACTCACATTGCTATAACATAATACTGGTAATTTATAATGGATAATTTACAATGAACAGAAATGTATTTAGTTCATAGTTCTGGAGGCTAAGATGTCTAAGAGTACAGAATTGGCATCTAGTGAGGGCCTTCATGCTGCATCATCCCATGGCAGAAGCCAGATGGGCCAGAGAGCATGAGAGGGCCAAACTCACTTTTATAACAATTCATTCTCATGATAACAAACCCACTCACATGATAATGACATTAATCTATTCATGGCTTAATCAACTCTTAACAGTTCCACCTCTGAATGCCATCCCAATGGCAATTAAATTTTAACATGAGTTTTGGAACACACATTCAAACCACAGCACCTACTATCCAATAGTAGCCTTTTTATAATAGTCTCCAGCAAGTCATCCAGCTACTGCATTAATACTTCCAGTAATAGTTAATAGCTTAAGAAATGTTTCCTGTGCACAAAGATAAGGAGTTTATGCCAAAGAGCAGAAAGAAGTTCCAAATTAGAGGTTAAATGTCTGAAAGTACAGAGGAAAAAAAACACACACACACACATTGAAAGGAACAGTATCTGGAGAGTACACAAAAAAGAATTCAATTCTGAATTAAGATTGTCACCTAAAGAAAGCCTGAAAAGTCTCAAGGTTAAACGTAAAGTACAAGCCACTTTATTTTCATTCTTTAGCGGAAATTCCTCAAGATCCACACAGTGATGAATGACTAAAAGGGCCAAGATGTTAAGTTAACCAGACGCACAAGAGCTCATATGCATGTGGGAGCAGAAGAAAAATGGTATGCAAAAAGGGCCAGGAAAAGAAAGAAGGTGACTGAATTACAACTTAATGAATATGTAGAAGATTGCCAAATGAAGATTGAGGGCAATTCATGCGGAAAAGAAAACATGAGCTGGAGGCAGAGAATCCTTGGAGTTAGGAATTACTAAAGTAATCCAGGTGAAACATAATAAAGTATAAACTATCTTGGGCATAAATGAGCACTGCCATATTTAACCTATTTGTATCCCTCATTACT